AGAGGTGGGTGAGGAGGCAGAGTTTCTGTTACACAAAATGAAAACCCCGAAGCAGGACTGAGCTGGTCTTTGATTCACGATTTGAATGAGCAGCCCCCACCCCGCGTGCCCCCAGGCATCCTCCCCACCTTCGAGGGAGGAAACTTAAGACCTCAAAATTCTCCAAAGCAGAAAAGCAAAAATGAGCCCATCAGAGACTTCTCTCTCATAGCTTGACCTCGAATGATGGCAGAGGGATGTTGATGGAACTCAGGGGCAATAGGTCCCGGCCTTCTGGGGGCCCGGCGGGGGTGGGGGAGGGGTGGGAATGGTCCAGCCTGTGAGAGCTGTAGGAGAAATCTCTCTTCTTCGTGGGGCACCTTCTTTCCATCAGCCATCACTGGTGCCGGAATTCGGGCATGACCAGTCTCGTGGGGTGAGAGATGCATTGTGTCAACAAGCCACTGAGACAAAGCGAGATACGAAGCTGATGGGGTAAGGGTGAGGCACTTGGGAAACTCAAAGAAAAGCATAGTGAGCGTGGGTCAGAGGGGCATTTCAGTTGGGTTCTGAAAGGTAGGTAAGCATTACCAAACCAGAGAAGGAGGAACAAGGGATGCGGGATGTGGCAGGGATAACAAACTCAAGTTTCATCAGAGGCCAAGAAGGCAAACGAGGGAAGGGGCATAAGCTGTGGTTAGTGGAGGGGAGCAGAGTGAACCAGAGGGTGTAAGCCCCACTGAAAGGCATCCAAATCCAATTTTTTAAAAATATTTTTATTTATTTCTAGGAGAGAGAGAGAGAGACAGCGTGAGCAGGGGAGGGTCAGAGAGAGAGGGAGATACAGACTCTGAAATAGGCTCCAGGCTCTGAGCTGGCAGTCAGCACAGAGCCCGACGCGGGGCTCGAACCCACGAACCGCGAGATCATGATCTAAGCGAAAGTCGGACGCTCAACCGACTAAGCCACCCAGACGCCCCCAAATCCAATTTTTTGAAAGTTCAGTGTAGCCGGGCAGAACATCCGGGGGCTCTGCCTGCGGACCCCCAAGCAGTCAGCTCCGACACAAACTACCAGAAACAAGGAAGAAGCAAGTAGAGGGGGGTGTAAGGAACGTGGCCGTGCCACGGAGGAAGGGAGGAAGGGAAGCAAGAAGGACAGGCAGGACCAGTCTTTAAGACTTTGTGTGGCATTGCTAAGGGGTTTGGGCTTTATTCTGAAAGCAATGGGGAGCCAGTGAAGATTTTTATTTTTCAGTTGAGTTAAAGGATGTGAGTTGCGTCTCAGAAGGAGCTCTGTGGCGGTAAAGCCTTATGTCAGGGCAGAGGTAGGGCCAGCTCTGAGATGTTAGGGGACAAAAGCAACACAGTTGGATGACCCGTGGGATGTGGGAAGGTAAGCATTCCCATCACGCTCCGTGGAAGTTTCTATACACAGAGGGCTCATCAGAAATGTAATGGGATGCAGTCATGAGAGTTCCATTCAACTCTCAGATCCATCTTTTAGCAGCTGTGTGACCCCAGGCAAGGGGCTTAACCTCTCTGGGCCTCTATTTTTGGGAATATAGTATGAACATTGCAAGACATGGCTCACAGGATGTTACAAGGGAGAGATACACAAAGACTAAGGGGAAAAACAAAAGAGGGGTTAGAGTGTGGTTTCTGGAGACGGAAGGATTCAAAGCCCAGATCCCCTACTAGCTGACTGTGTGACTCTGGGAAAGTTACTAGTCACTCTGTGCTTCAGTTTCCTCGGTGCCAGATGGGGATAACAGGAGTACCTATGCCCGGGCTTCTGTGAGGATGAGATTATCAGACCTGGGAAAGGTTTGGTGCGGACTGAGAGCTCAGCGAGATCTGAAAGGTATCACTGGATAAAGCAGTTGACACCACAACTGATTGACTGTAGGGTTCAACCAGCAGTTGTTCAGGCCTACCTTCTGCCTGAATAGGGGCCCTCCAGTCTTCCCACCTTCTCTCCAAATTTCCTTACTGCCTCCCTGCCTCTTCTCTCCCCTTCTCCCCTGCCTCCTCTCCACCACGCCCCGCCTCCCCCACCCCGGGTTTAAAAAAGAAAAAAATGTCAGCACGTGAAGAATCCCAGAGAGGAAAGTTTGGGGTGGCTTTGAGGCCCAGCTGATGGACAGCCATGATTTCCTGGACAGCCTGGAGGGCTGAAAAATGTGAAGATGGAAGTTTGGAATTTGGGGGAGCAACCGACCAGCAATCAATCCCCTCCTCCCAGTCAGGAAGGCAGTTTCCCTTGCTGGGGGCTCAGGTCAGAGTTCTAGGGAATTTTCTTTTCATTATGATGATTACTAGAAACTCAAGAACTCAGAAAACACCCAACATGTAAGTCACCCACTTCTCAACCCCTGAGATTCCCAACGTCAGTGGCCTCACCCAAGCTGGTGCCCAGGGCCCGTTGCTTTATGACTTTGCACCAGACGGAAGTGATCTGACTCATGGCCACTGACCAGGCTCCTGCCCTGCCACAGAGTTCCCCTAAATTCCCATTCGATTGCCTTTCTTGAAAACAGCCTATTTTGGTTCTACAAATCCTTGCTCATCCGCCATTTCCAACACACCTGGAATGAGAAGTCATCTACACACACACACACACACACACACACACACCTTTCTCTTCCCCACCACCAGTGAGCAAAGGAATGAGACAGGGCCCAGGAGGAGAAGGGGTTGATGGAGTAAAATAGAAACAGTTCTTGCTCCTTGTATCTCACCCGTTGTGACTTATCAAAACTTTGAGGTTTCTCAGTTCTCACTGACAGTCAAAGCGAGCTTTCTCTAGAGTAACGAAGTATTTGTATGCGTTGAAAGAAACCTCGAGCGCTTCACGCCAAGATGAGTCAGTGGAGGCTGGACGGTGCGCATTGGACCCTGACAAGAGCATGGTTAACGTAAAAGACGTAGGCTTGAGTGGGGCCTCTCCGGGTAATTCACCCAGGAAGGGGGATGGGAGAGGGGCGCTAGGATGTTGCCTGACAATCTGTTCCCCTCCAGGACTGCAGATACTCAGGCGCAAGCTGGAGACAACGGGATAGTGGGTGCCTGCCCTCAGAAAGAGAAGACAGCCAGGAAGGCAGGTGCAGATAGACCGTGAGGGTCTTGACTGCCGAAATAAGCTTCCGGGGCTTCCTCCTTAGGACTGGATGGAGAGGTCTTCAGGATTTAGGACAGCTGGTGGGGTTGGGCATCAGAGGTCAGCCTCAGAAAGACGTGTCTAGCAGCAGTGTGCGGTATAACTTGCTTGAGGTGGGAGAAATACCTACTTGTTTATGTGGCCTGATGCCCTTCCTCCTTCACCCAGGAACCCCCAAGCCCAGAATCCCCCGCGTTAGGCTCTCCACTGGAGCACACGGTCAATCGGGTGTCATGCAGAGAAACTTCCAGCAGGTGGCGCTCTGGCCAAGGGCACAGAATCCCTGGTAATCTGCTCCCTCTTGGAAGCAGAATTCCTCCTGGGCTGAAAGAGGGCCCCCAGCTTCCAGGAGGTGCTTGATGCACAGCCCCAAGCATTTCCCAGTCCCTACTGGGACTGGAGGTGGGACCGGTCTGCAAGTCCCGCCTGGGCATTTATTGGTGGCACCCCAGTTACTGATTGTCCTGTGGGCCAGGCCCTAGCTGGGGACTGAGGGTCCCGTTGAAGGTAGGAAAGCACAATTCCTGCCCTCTGGGTGCTCCCAGAAGGTTAGGTGACTTGTACAGAAAGTACCCTGTGAACTGTCCTCCCTGCTCAACCCTCAGAGGAAAGAAGTTCCTGCTCCAGCCCCTCAGCTCCTCTACAAAGCCAGACTGAGCAGCCAAGTGTCTATCTTCAGACCACAGCACACCAGGCCTGTGCTCACCTAGGGTCCTAGCCTGTTGCTCAGACTCAAGGAGAGCCTCCTGGCTTCCAGAATGTACCCAGGCATACTCTGGGCAGGCCAGGCAGGGTCCCTTCCCCACAGCTGAACATGTTCCCCTTTCCCACATCTCACAAGGGCCCCGGATTAGGCAGAAGTTAAAGATAGAACATATACACACACTTCAGTCAAGTGAAAAACAGTAGTTACCTCAGAGAATAGTCTCCCATCATACCACGCTGTCACAGGACAGTGTCCCCTCAGGCCATCCTGGTACTCTCTCCCTTGGAAGAAGAGGAAGCAGAGCATTCATTCATTCATTCATTCATTCATTCATCAACACACAATTCCTGGGTGCCTTCTTGACTTGCGGTCTGCTCTGGGTAAAAGGGGAAAGATCCCTGCTCTGAAAGCAGGCTGAGGGAGTAAGCAACGTAAACCACCAGCTGGCCTTGATGAATGTCAAGAGGCTATGGAGGCAGATGGGTCCCCAAAGCACTTTCCTATCCTTGAGCTGCCAAGAAATAACCTTACTCCTCCACCTAGCCCTGTGACGTCACCCTATTTCCTCAGCTGGCCTCGCCCAGAAGACACTCAGGGCTGTACTTGGGGCTGCCCACTCACCTGGATGCAGGAAAAAGGCTCCCCAGTGGCTACTGGCACCAGAGCAGTGCAGGACACACACACACACACACACACACACGAACACACACACACACACACACACACACACACACACACCCTGACCACCACCACTTCAGGGCCTTGCTTCCCATATAACCTGGACTGGGAGGGACCACTCAGACCCAGGAGTCAAGGTCAATCAAAATTCAGCCTTGAGGGGTGGTGTGGACCAGAGTGGACTTCCCAACCCCAGAAGACACCCTGAAGAGCCAAGAAGGGGGTGGGGAGCGGGGCCTGACCACTGATCCCACTCCTTTCTGAGGTCTCGGAGCAGAGAAAGAGGAGGGGAGGGCGGCAAGGCTGGGCAGCCAGCCAGGTGCTTCAAGGCACAATCTGGTTCTGATGTTCCAGCAAACGGGGTGCCTGGGGCTTGTGATGAAAGTTCCCAACAGTGCCCCCACCCCTCCCAGAGGCTTTCTTTTGTAACAAATCCCTGGCCCTGCCATGCAATAACTTTCTCACCTTGTCTCCTACAGGGAAACCAATGAAAACCATGCTGGTGGTGGCTCTCCTTGTCAGTATCCAGGTGAGATCTGTGGCCAAGAAAAGCTCTGTTCCCTCCTCCACACCCCCTCCCCAAGCCCACCCCTTCCCATCCCCGGGGGCCTGGTGGAGGAGGTGGGCACTTGCTGGAAGGAAAAAGACCCAGACACAAACCCACTCGCCATTCCTTAAGCTGATGGCAGCCCCTGTCCATCTGCTGAGTGACCCTACAAAGCCACCGATGATCTCTGAATGTCCTTTACTCCATTTAAATCAAAACATGGGGGCAGGGAATCAGACACCACCATCTCCCCCACCCCACTTCCACTGTCCCCATCCAGGATACGAGAATGTGGGCTCCATCTGAGGTCATGGAAAGGAACTACACAAAGCAAAGCCTGGGAGGTATCGGAGTCCGTACACATGTATGCACAGCCATACATGTAAAACTTCTTCATACGTGAGCTGAGAGAAACCTTGGTCTGGTGGCCTGGTTCCTATCCAGTTATCCCAAAGTTGTCCCCCTCCCCCAGTGTGCAACCAAAGCCTCCTCCAGAAGCCCCCGTCCCTTCTGTGAAATCAAGAGGCCCATTTGAGCCCCACTTAATGGGGAGGGAAGAAAGGATGAGGCCTGGGACACTGGGGGCGGGGGTGGTGCACATACGTTATGGGGGCCCAAACTCTGCAGGAGTGAAGTACCCCGGTTTACAATGTTCTGCTTCACGATCCCAGAAATAGAGACAGGAAATCTGGCCCCTTGAAGTGCCTAGAAGAAACTGTAACTCATACAGTTTACTCTCTTCCATTTGTCAGGGGTGGGAGCTCTCTTGGAGGGGGAGGGGGAGGCTGAAGCCAGAGCTGGAGAGGCAGTCCTTCAGAATTTGGCTCTTCCCCAGGTCTGGAGGCCAGAGGGGCAGCTTTCCAAGAGCTCCGGCCAGAGGCAGGCCCCAACCTGGGCACTGTTCCCAAAACCCCATCCCAGAGGCCCCCCGGAGCTTGGGCTGCAGCCCACAGCCTGGCCCCCCTCCTCATCACCACTCACTCCCCTCTTGCTTCCCATTTCCAGGACTTGGGAAGGGCTGTTTTGCTGCAAGTGGAGCCTGGAAGGTTGGGGAGGGGACAAGGGACAGCTGGGGCTCGTTCTTCTCTTTACTTGGGGGAAGGGCGGTAGCTCAAATGGGGCAGGATATGGTGGCACTGTGGGCTACAGAGGCATCAAGCCTGGTGGCCGGGGAGCCAGGAGGTGATAAAGGGGAGAAAGAGAAGGCAGGACAAGGTGGCGGGGAGCATGCTTCAGAGAGGCTGGGGGTACCCCTTTATGTCCAGGGACCCCAGGCTTAAAACCCTGGGCCTTACCATGGGAGGCTGAGAGCAGCCAGCCTTTGCCAGAACTATCAGCTGCCATCATGCCCACATGAGGGAAAGGGGGTCGCCACCGACATTTCTCAAGATAGCAATGCCTAAAGAAAAGGCTCCTCGACATTAGTATGTCCTTGCTCTTCTCCCCAAGCAGGACAGTGATAAATTCAGAATTTGGAAGTAAGAAAGACAGACAGGATGCAGGAAGGTCAGGAGACTGGGTTACACTCTGGCTGTGTAACCTTGAGCGAGGCTCTCCAAGGGCCTCCCTTTTCTCATCTCTAAAGTCCCTCCAGCTCCCCAGTTGTATGAAAACCCCATCCTTTTGAGCTGCTCAGAGCCCAGTTCCCAGAGGAGGGACCGTGGGCTTCCTGAGGTGGCCTTGCAGCCCCGCTGCCGAGCTGCACAGGCTTAGCCATCACTGCGAGCTGAGGCACGGGCAGATGTGAGCCCTCCTTCATTGATAAAATCACAGCAGGCTGCCTGAACCCTCACCCTGCCCTGCAGACAGGCTAAAAAAAGCCCTGAGCAGCTGAGCCTGGCTGATTGGGATCTGCTGGAAGAGATCGCAAGGAAAAAAGAGACAGCAACGTAGGGGGAGAGGGTAGCATAGAGGGAGAGTGGGAGACAGAGCCACACTCTCTTCCTGGGGTACAGGGAGGGCTTTGTCACAGCTGAGGAAGCTATGGCCCAGCAGAGTCAACAGCTCCCGCCATAGCTGAGTGTACTTGGACAAACACTGTCTGAGCCCCTACTGCATGCCAGGCACCATGCCTTGGGCCCCAGGGATTCGTAGAATTCTTCGAGTCCCTCACCACCCAGAGTCACGGCAGCTCACCCCACACCAGGGTTTTAAGGCCTCTCAGCAGAGCATTTGCCTTTCTCTCTTCTTGCTTCAGGCCCTCCTCAACCTTAACCCCAAGGTGGATTTTTCCTCAAAAGCTCAAGTATTTTGTAGGCTTCCTGGAAAACTCTTTCTAGCAGATTCTGAAGGAGGCTCAAGAAGAAAGGCACACATCTCAACTCTCCTGGATTTGTTAGGCACCTCACGACACCCATGTGAGGGAGATAGTACTCATCTCCGTTCCACAGTTGAGAAAACTGAGGCTTAGAGATAAAGTGTGTTTATCTGGCCCAAGGCTCATCTGACCCCAAAACGCAGACACTTTCTTGTCCCCCATCAGGACACGTAATGATGAGTCTGTCAGAAATGGCAAGATCAGACCCTGGTTTCCTATTAGAAATGCAGAATCTCTGGTTCCAGACTATTAAATCAGGACATGCATTTTGACAAGACCTCCAGGGAATTCATATGTGTGTTAGAATTTGGGAAGCACTGGTTTCAAGCCAAAGAACCACCTGGAAAGTGGCCCAGATTCATGGGGCCCCGCCCTCTGAGATGCTGGTTCGTAGGTCTCGAGTAGGATCTGAGAATTTGCGGGTGATGCTGATGATGCCAATGGTGGGGGACCACACGTTGAAACCACCGCCCTGGGGCCAATCCCAGGGCAGCGAGCTGAGCTGAGCTGAGCTGGAAACCACTTCGCTGAGCTGGATCGTGTTGCTCTATTCCCTTCCCTGCAGGTGTGCCTATGCCAAGATGAGGTCACAGATGATTACATTGGAGAAAATACCACGGTGGACTACACGCTGTATGAGTCCATATGCTTCAAGAAAGACGTGCGGAACTTTAAAGCTTGGTTCCTGCCAGTCATGTACTCCATCATTTGTTTCATGGGTCTGCTGGGCAACGGGCTGGTCGTGCTGACCTACATCTACTTCAAGAGGCTCAAAACCATGACCGATACCTACCTGCTCAACTTGGCCATGGCGGACATCCTCTTCCTCCTGACCCTTCCTTTCTGGGCATACAGCGCGGCCAAGTCCTGGGCCTTCGGCATCCACATTTGCAAGATCATCTTTGGCATCTACAAGATAAGCTTCTTCAGTGGCATGCTGCTGCTTCTTTGTATCAGCATTGACCGCTATGTGGCCATCGTCCAGGCCGTCTCGGCCCACCGACACCGTGCCCGCGTCCTTTTCATCAGCAAGCTCTCCTGTGTGGGCATCTGGATGCTGGCCATGGTGCTGTCCACCCCAGAGCTGCTGTACAGCGGCCTCCAGAAGAGTAGCAGCGATCACGCGCTGCGGTGCTCTCTCAATCCTGAGCACGTGGAAGCACTGATCACCGTCCAGGTGGCCCAGATGGTGGTGGGCTTCCTCATCCCCCTAGGGGCCATGAGCTTCTGCTACCTTGTCATCATCCGCACCCTGCTCCAGGCACGCAACTTTGAGCGCAACAAAGCCATCAAAGTCATCATCGCTGTGGTTGTGGTCTTCATAGTCTTCCAGCTGCCCTACAATGGGGTGGTCCTGGCCCAGACGGTGGCCAACTTCAATATCACCGGCAGCGGCAGCTGTGAGCTCAGCAAGCAGCTCGACATCGCCTACGACATCACGTACAGCCTGGCCTGCGTCCGCTGCTGCGTCAACCCTTTCTTATACGCCTTCATTGGCGTCAAGTTCAGAAGCGATCTCTTCAAGCTCTTCAAGGACTTGGGCTGCCTGAGCCAGGAGCGGCTTCGTCAGTGGTCTTCCTGCCGCCACACCCGGCGCTCCTCCATGAGTGTGGAGGCCGAGACCACCACCACCTTCTCCCCGTAGGAGGCTCCTCCGCCAGGACTAGACGGACCTCTCCCGGGGCCCCTGGGCTGGGGACAGGGAGCAGATGACTCAGGCTCCAAAAACTGCAGAGGGAAAAGCAGTCCTGGCTGTTAAGTTTATCTCATGGAGAAAGCCTGTGCCACAGCCCGGGCTTCATCCCGGCCCTAGCTACCTCCACCAAGGTTGCAAAGAGTTGTGGCCAAGTGAGCCACACCAAATCCTGCAATGCTCCCAAACCAACGCTGTTGTCTCCCAAACCAAAACCCCGCAGTGGACGTCAGAATAAAGTCCACACTCTCGGGGTCAACAGATAGTTGGTGACAGGTAGGCTGGTGGAGGGGCCTGGCGGGTCCTCTGAAGGAAACTCCTTCCGACCTAGAATGACATTCTCCCTGAGATTCGAGGGCTGAGCCACGTCTTCCAGAAATCAAGGCTTTGTCTCCAAGACCAGAGATGGTGGGGAGGCTTGGCATGGCAGCGAGTGGGGATGCCAATGGGCCAAACTCCGACTTCCTGCCTCCATCTCTTTTTCTACTGTCATTCGAGCCAGCAAGAAATGGGAGCCTCTAGGCCTCCCCGAAAGTGCACTTGCCCCTCGCCTGCCACCTCTCATCAGGCTGCTGCCCTCCCAGGCTCTCCTCAGGGAGGGGTGTGGTGTTTCCTGCAGGTCAAGCCAGCTGCCTCTGCCTGGCCAAAGCCATGCTCCCAGCCAGGACTCTGGGGCAAGGATGATGTGGAGCCAGCCCTTCTCGGGTCTCAGCTCTGTTCGGATGGAGGAGAGTACAGGGAGAGAGGTTAGGGGCCAGGGGGTGGGGACCGTGCTGGCTGCCAAAGACCAATGAGCTGCTTTTTGTTCTTAGTCGTGGGGACAAAAACACTCTCATCCTGTCCAGCATGGTTTACTCATATACGAATACAAGTTTTCCCTTGAGGAATCAACAGCTTTAAAAGAAAGGGGGAATTTTTTTGATAAATGACAAATGGGTATGTTCCTGTTGTGCAAACTCCCACTTCTCTCTTTTCCCTAGTCTTCATTTCTCAGAGATGCTCAGAGCCACGAGGTCTGCCGAACTATGTCCCGAACACATCCAATGACGCAAGCCCAAGAGGCTAAAAGAGGCAGGGGGAGGGGAAGCACATGGTGCCCATCTGGCAAATGTCCTTCCAGAGCTCGTGGGCAAGGACCCAAGCCTGTGCCATCAACAGTGACCCAGACACACCAGTCTGAGCTGAGCTCTGGAAAGAACCAAGTCGTCGAGCTCTGGAAAGAGTTGTCGAGCTCTGGAAAGGACCAAGCCTGCAACCTCAATGGCTGGGGAGCTCTCCCTGACCTTTAGCAACATTCACACACCGGTCTGCTCATCTTTCCAGGCTCGGTCTGAACCAGAGCCCCTGACCCTTTGTCAGTCTTTTCAAGCTCCCCCAAAGTGGTGTTTTGAGGGAGGGCCTCCCCCCTGGGCTCAGAGACCACAGCATGCTGGATTAAGGAGGGTTGGGATGAGACCCATATGACAGGCTGCACCCTTTGCTGGATGCTTGAAAGCCAAGTTCACCCATGTCCCTCCCTACTGACCATTGTTGCCGCAATAGCCAATGTATGGTTACCAACCATGGAGGGGTGGGAATCTAGAAACAGCCACCATGCTCCACATATATCCATGTCCCTGAGTGCCCTGATGCCTGCCCCAGGACCTGATCCCTCAAAGCTCGAGAGGAAGTTAGCTCATGCTGTGACATATGAGGAGGGGTCTGAAGGGACGTGCAAAGCAATAGCTTGGGGCCTGATGGGGAGAGGGGGGATGACACATGCAAAGGTGATTCCATCAATTTTCCAAAGAGAAAAGAGCCTGCCTGGTAATGAAGCCCATTGTCTAATTTCACAAGCACATTACATTACCCTCCTCCACAGGATGCCCTGGGCACGGTTTGTCAGCCGGCCTCCACGCCAGGACCCGACGCCCTGGGAAAAAGGAACCCAGCACGGGCGCAGTCAGCCTGGGGCAGTGCACACCACAGCAGCATTAAATTTTAAAAGGTGCAGCTGCCGACGCGTGTGCACGAGTGTGGGGAGAGAGGAGGGACCCCATAGTGTCTGTGGGACCCCAAGAGGAGCATGAAGCCCACCAGTGTGTACATCCTAGTGAGGGTACAGGCAGGAAACTGAGCCTCAGATCCTGAAGGGAGAAATGTAAAGGAATGGTCACGACCAGGAAGCCAGGCCAACCGCACAAACACACCACCTCGGCTTCAAATACGTTTTTCTAAAATAACTGGACATCTCCAAGTATTTACAAAGACAACAAAATCCCGGCAGTGTTAATTCCCCAAACTGCTTGCTCTCTCTTGGCTCACTGCTGGCCTGACCCCTGTTTCCTGCCCAGCGCCCTCACATGCCTACCCTGAATTTGGGGGGACACCTAGGAAGGTGGAATAGACTCACTGGGGAGCACCTCCCCAAGAGCTTCTCTCACTTCTCTCTCATCTGCCTCATATAACTGCCCCATCTTCCTGGGTTTATGACCCCCACAGTTCCTCCCCGTCTCCTGCAGCCTCCCCCTTCTTTCCAGCCCCAGCAACTTGCCCCCCAGCCTCCCTGGCTGCAACCCCAGGCCACAAATCTGCCCTTCCAGCCAGAAGCACCGCCCCTCTAGAATCATGTATTCACAGAGCTACAAGGGGCCTACAAGCTGTTCCAAGCCCCAGTCATTCTCTAGATGGGGAAATTGAGGCCCAGAGGAAGGAACTGACTACTTAACCAGACACTGCAATGTAAAGATACCGGATAAACTTTCTTCAGGCGCCTGAGAACCTGGCAAGATTGTGGAGGCGGATGGGGGAGAGCAGAGGCTCTGGAGACTGGCTGACTGTGAACCTCAACTCTATTGCTTCCCAGCTGTGTGACCTTCAACTGTTGCTCAACTGCTCTGAGTCTCAAATTTCTCAACTGCGAAGTGGAAAGGATCTGGCACACGTTTAGCGTGGTGCCTGGAATGCTGCATGTGGTGGTGAGGGGCCCAGGCTCTGTGGCCAGACTGGCTCGTATCTCAGCTGCGCTGCGGGTTTTAGTCTCTCTGTGCCTCGGTTTCCTAATCCATGTGATGGGAAAAAATCATTGCACCTACCTCCTAGGATTGTCATGAGGAGCAAATAAAATCTATACATGTAAAATGCTTAGAAATCCTTATGGGAGTGTTGTTGATAATCATTCAGAAGTGTTTAATACATGGTAACTAAAAAAACAGTTGCTAACCACAAGGAAACCAGATTCAATTCCTTAGCCCCATTTTTATCCCCATACAACTTATAAATCGAGCTGGAGAACAAGCTGAAGATTAGGCCGTCTGTCCTTCCCACCAAGTGTACAGGTGAGCCAACCGAGGCGCTGAGAGGTGAATTACAGCCCTGAGGTCTCTCAGGAGCTCCTGGCCATGTTAGAACTTGAACCCAGGTTCCCAGGCTCCATCCAGAACTCTTCTTCCAGACCTCCGGCACTCACTCACACAGCCCTACACATCCACTCTGGCTTACGCCATCCTCATCCCAGACCATGTAGCTCCATCGCTCCCATCCTGTGGCCAGGCCCATAAGGAGACTCTCCCTTCTCCCCTTTAAATCATCCCTGTCCTTGCCATTGAGTCTGGGAGAATGACGTACAAAGAAAAGAACTATGGCAGCCCGTCCAATGGAATTCAGGCAACTGATCTTTTTAAGAAACGATCCTCTCTGGAGCTCAGGTTCTCAGTTACATGTCTATATGGAAGGTAAATAGTTGGAGGAAGAAGAAACAGGTCTGTGGGGTCAGGGGTGGGAGTTGAGGCGAACGAGATGAGAAGCAGAGGGGAGAAATTCTGAGTGGGGGGCAGAAGTCAGGGGGAAGGTGGGGTAGGAATGTATTCTAGGCACTACTCAGCTAGGGGCCAGACCTGGCAAGTGTTGTCAGTGGCTGGAAAGATGTCCCACCACACACACACACACACACACACACACACACACACACACACACACAGCTTCCCTGGGCCTCCCAATCACAGGTGAGGAGAAAGGGGCTCTATTAGTCTTGAGACAGGTGGGCTCATGGCTTTCTTGGTCAGGAGGAGGCTAGAAACAGCCCAGTTTCCCTAGTCTGAGCCCCCAGGGAGTAAAAGAGGGGGTGCTTCTCCTTGAAATCAAAAGAGCAAGCGTGTCAGCCCTCCCAGCTTCCAGTCTATGAGAGCAGATGTTTGAGAGGCACTGTAGGGAGGAGGAGCCTCATTACACACACACACACGCGTGTGCACACACACCACCCCCAGCTCAGCCATTTGTCTTGTCAGGGCTATGTAGCCATTTGTCTTGCCTAGAAAGAGACCCGGACAAGGGGTCTGCTGTAGAAAAGGCTACATAGCCCCTTGCTCAGCCAAAGCAGCTCTATACCAACAAAGCTCGTCTGATCTCCAAAATCAACCACAAGGGCACGTGATTGCTCCCACGGACGCCTCTGTGTGTGTGTGTGCGCAGCCGATTCAGACTGCTCTTCCTCCCGCATCCACTGTGAAAATGGATATAACCTTATTTTCATCTGTTGTTCCCTAACCCCAGGGAATCCACTTGCTGGATTGCTCCATGTGTCACAGTAACCACTACACAGTGTGGCCTCCAGGTGCTTATCTCTGTGTAAGTAAACATCAGTCTGCAGGAGCAGGGCAGGGGTCAGGCTTTGCCCGGTTCTGGCCAGTTCACTCCCTCCGGGTGCAACAGGCCCGAAGGTCAGATGTCCATCCCACTGGCAAGAGAGCAAGTGAGGAAACATGCCTTGCCCCGGAGTCCTCTCATGCCTGTGTCAGAGCTTGTTGCTCAGGGCAGCGTAGTTTATATTAGTCCCAAGTAAATATCTGACATTGTGAAGTTCAACAGATACCACAGATGAAATGCCCCAGACCCTTTCCCAGAGTTCAAAAAGGAGGACTGGAAATGCACGCACATTTATCTTTTATGGTTTATGCAAACTGTACTCAAGTGACTGAAACAGGAACATGGTCACGTGTAAAGGCCAAGTGGAGCATTCTTCCCCGGCCCAGGGAATGTTTTCTGTGGTGTGGCCGGAGCCTGTGTTCGAGCCAGGGGCCAGGAGTCACCTATGGTGGCACGAGCTCTGTCTCTTGCATGGAAGCTTGGGCTCTCACCCCGGTCACTAGCTCCCCGGACACTGCCATCGAGCCCGCACTAACGCCTTTTTCCGCCACCTGCCTTCTCTGTACACTCCCAGTTCAGGGATGCTCAGCTACCAAGGAGTGTTTCTGGCAACCTCTGGCCGTGAGAGTCCAGGGAAAGGGGAGCAGGAAAAACAATGGGAAGCTCTGAGCCTGGGGGAAGGGTTCAGGGAGACACCCTTCACCTTCACCTTCAGATCAAGACACAGGCCTACATGCACCTGAAACCCTTCGGTCTCCGTCAAAGGCAGAACTTGCATGTTTGTCCGAGAATACACTTGCTCTGCCTCCTTCTCAGTTACCCACCCCCGCCCAAGTCTCCCTGACCCCCAAACTTGGGGAGACTGTGGACGGCCCAGAGCATGTGAGGTTTTACTGCCAGGAGAGTCAGAGGCTGGATATTTATGGGGTGGGGGGGGGCACCTGGGTAGCTCAGTCGGTTAAGCGTTCAACTTCGGCTCGGGTCGTAATCTCACAGTTCGTGGGTTCAAGGCCCGCGTCGCGCTCTGTGCTGACAGCTAGCTCAGAACCTGGAGCCTGTTTCAGATTCTGTACCTCCCTCTCTCTCTGACCCTCCCCTGCTCACACTGTCTCTCTCTCTCTCTCTCAGAAATAAATAAATAAATAAATAAAAACGTTTAAAAAAAATATGGGGTGGGGGGGTGGCGGACCACAGAAGTGACTGTAGGAATCACAGAACTTAAGGTAGAAAAGACCTAGCGTAGGAGGAGAGATAGACTCACATTTACTGGGTGCCTGTGATGTGCCAGGGACTACTGTGTATACCAGCTCCCGCTGAATTCTTAGGAGAACAGGTGAGGACACTGAGGTTTAGGAAGTCTGTATGACTTACCTGAAGTAACACAGCTGGCAAGAATAACTACAACCTTACCTTACCGCAATTGTATTATGCCCTTCACAGGGTACAAGCATCAAACCTTAACTCATTTAATCCTCAAACAACCCTGCTAGAGTCCCATTTTACAGATGCGAAACTGAGGCTCAGAGAGGTTAAGTAACTTTGCCGAAACACACAGCTGCTGAGTGATAAATCTTCACGGAGTGGCTTTGACCAGTTCTAGCTTGCCTCCAAAGCCTGTGTTCTTGCCACTCGACTCCACAAGCCAACCAAACAGCTGCTCGCTCATTACCAAATATGCATGGAACCCCTACTTTGCACCAGGCATTGTGCTCACATTCTCGAGATGTACCAGCCAACACTTTGCAAAACCTACTGGACGTGAAGCTCTGACCTGGGAGGAAGGAGAACCGGGTAACGAGGAGACAGCACCACCCCACCAGGGGGATGTGACCCCTCGGGCCCTGGACCAACCAGGTCTTTGCTGCTCCTCGAGAGCTTGGTCTCTCCTTCTCCCCTCCAGGCCCCGCTTCTCACTCGAGCTTCCTGCAGAGGCCAGCCCTCCAGGGCTGCAGGCTCTGGGGCGCAAGTGTCTGGGCTCAGCCACAGACACACTGGGCAGCCCCGCTTAGTGGCTGTCCCCCTTTGGGCCTCCATCTCCTGAACTGGGAGGTGGCGGAGCTGCATCAGATGATTTCTACCATTGCTTCCCCCTCTGAGGTGTTAGAGGCTCCTCACCTGGGTGGGGTCAGCCAGACAGGGCTCTGGGCACCCTGATGCCTGAAAGGGGTACAGAGTGAGTGGGTGAGGGGCTGAGGAAGCTGCCCCACCCCCAGCTGTGGTTTCTGGTGGGGCCACCCTGGCAGCAGGTGGAGGGAAGTGTTTGTCACCCTTCCAACAAAGCAGTAAAACAAAAGCCTCCCGGGGCACTATGGGAGCAGGCAGCAAAGGCGCCAAAAGTGCCAAAAATAAAACACACCTTTCCTTTGATAGACACCCGCGGCTGCCGAGGTGCCTGGCCTGGGGGTGGTGAGGAAAGGGCTCAGATTTCACGCCCCAGAGCGCGCCTGCACACAACCAGCACGCACGTACACACGTACCAGTTGCACACACTCATATACCAGCCTCACGGGCCTGAGACCTGCGCGGTCACCCAGGGCTGCGCTCAGAACAGCCCACACTTGATTTAAGGCTCAGCTGTCTCTATCTTGAACTTCTTAATAATTTTTGAGCAACAGGCTCAGCATTTTCATTTTGCACTGGACCATATAAGTTCTGCACCGAGCCCTGGTTGTATACACTCGTAAGTGTATGTACATTCACACTACACTTAAAAAACACACAAACATTTATATACACCACACACACACACAAGTATAAATATGTGCACACACCCCCACATACAGCAATAGTCCCCTGATCCCCCATACACACTCACCGAAGCACACACATGACCCAAGGGGCCATGGACACTCACCAGTAACACTGAGACACGTGTAGTTCACCCACACCTGTTGGCACAGTTTGATCACCTTAACATTGAGGGACGGCCAAACAAAGCTTTGGGGATGGGGCATGGTGGGAAAGCATTTCCTCTTGCCCCCAGCATCCCCAACAGCTACAGCTGGCTTCTCTCATCAGCCCGAGACCAGCAGCTGGGATCAGAAGCAAGGTAGAACTTGGGAAGTGGAGGGATCTGTGAGAAGGGAGAAGGACATGGGGTAGAAGGGAGAGAGACAGCAAAAAAGAGCAAGAAGAACAGTAATGGAGTCTCCAGGCGAGTTAGCCAGAACAGGGGTCCATTAAGAGTTTAAAAGATGTTGTTGGGGCACATGGGTGGTTCAGTCAGTTAAACATCCGACTGACTCTGGGTTTCGGCTCAGGTCACGATCTCACGGTTTGTGAGTTCGAGCCCCGTGTCAGGCTCTGCACTGGCCTCCCCCCTCTCTTGGGATTCTCTCTCTCTGTGCCTCCTCTGTTCACACACATACTCTCTCTCTCTCTCTCAAAATAAATAAATAAACGTTTTTTAAAAAGTTCTTTGACTCAAAGAGTAATAGCTCTGTCCATCCCTGAGAGCGCAGTACCCCCACCCCACCCCCACCTCCTCTTCTCACTGG